ATACATGTATAAGGATCATGGGATTTCAGAGTATATTCTTCTGTCCATCATGTGGAAGCTAGCAAGCAGAAATCTTATATCAAACATGGCAGAAACAACAAAATAAATAAGATAATAAAGGTGGACACTGAACGAGGGAAGTCATTATTCAATTGCTGCTGATTGGTAGTAGCAATGAGTGAGTGAGTGAGTGAGTGAGTGAGTGAGTGAGTGAGTGAGTTGGGTTTTACGCCGCGTCTAGCAATATTCAAGCAATATCATGGAAGGGGGACACCAGAAATGGGTTTCACACATTGTGCCCATATGAGGAATCAAACCCGGGCCTTTGGCATGACGACCTAACGCTTTAACCACTAGACTGTACCACCGTAGGTATGAACAAATGCAAGGCAGTGACTCCTTATATCTCTAAATAGATAGTTAACCGTAATACTTCATAATACGATAAACTACGGTACACTTTTCGAGAACCGGTTCACCCGATACGATCAGCAATTTCCGTGACCATGATCGGTAATTTCCGTGATGTAGTAAAAAATACTAATAACATTTGTACTTCCTGTATATTATTATACATTAATTAGTTTTGAGAATGTTTATTGGTCATATAATTTCATATGCGTGACTTATAAACCATATAAATAAAACAAAATAGAATTGGTACCGGCATTCGTTGTAGGGGTGAACACACCAAAATGGCCGACGCCACCACAGAAGCTTTTTCTGTGGTTCCAAAGCGAAGTCTTCAGTTTGGAAACCTTTTCAATTGATCTCTTGTACAATCACATCTAAGCCCTGACAGTGGTCAGTGCCATTGTTTCAAAAGAAAGGAAACAGTAATTTCATTACCTTAAACCATGTGTTACACTTTCACAATATATTGCAATACATATTGCAATACGACAACACATATCATAATATATCGCAATACGAAAATTTAGGCAATACCCGACCTATCTCTAAATCAGATGTTTATAAACTGTGACTGTTAGTTAAGTAGTGCATTCAAGAGGTCCACTTGTATTCAAACATAAATGAACGTTAACATGTGTCAATTACAGTTACAAACTTCAGTTATTACCAAATGTGTAATGTGAGAAAAATGTCATTTCAATGCGTTAACAAAATCCTGTTGGCACGGGATGTAATTGGGAACATGTGTCAATGATCAACAGCCTACAGTCCAGTATCGATCCTATCTTTGTATCACTTCCAATGCTATCACCGGCCAAATAACATGATCTCCAGCTTAATTACTTTCTGATGGCCCTTGCCTGTGCCCATCTCCCGTCTAGCACATTTACTTGTCACTGAAGCTTTTAACACCACCAGGACGAATCTGGTAATCAATCTTGCCTATACATCATAGATGTCTCTTTTAACATGAAAACATATCCCCTCAAATACTGGAAACGTTTTATACTTTATGGATAAACGTATAATACTTTATGGATAAATACTGCTAATACTACACACCAAATCTGCTCGTAGTGCCAATTATCACGAACTTTGATTCCAAATATCTGGTCAGTATGTTTTCATGACATATACATACATGATCACCAAGATGTTATATGTATGACAGCTGCCAGCCAGCGAAGAGAAATTGAATATTAGTCTGCTGTGCTTAGAACATAAATTAAATCCTAAATTTTCTGAAAAGTGTTCATTCAAAGTCATTAACCAATCTTAACTAGTCAAGTTTCACTTCAAAATGTGCATAATAATAATAACTATTTCAAATCATCTATAGCAAGTCACAGTTCCAAGTTCCCATCCTTACAAATAGTTCCTGATCAATTCAATGCAAATTGAATGCTTCTATACCACATCTTCATGAATATCATTTTCGTGAAGACAGTAAGCTTACATGAACAAATGATATCATTATATACCTTGATCCAATATTCAATATAAGACAAATACTGAATCAGCAGGAAAGTTCAATGCTAAGCAACTCCCAAACCAGCTGACAGCATCTCTGGTGCTTTCCCAATGCAAGCAATTTCTGCATTGCTGTGACCCACTATAGACAGATTCAGAGAACTTGAAATCTCATACGTAGTATGTCTATCAACAATAGCAATATAATTAGTCATCAGCATATGACAGTCAAATTAACACAAACAAAACAATAAATGGTTCATTAATCAGTTTGATGAGGTAGGCTACTGTGACCAGACATAACCAGCGTATCGGTTTACAAACTACACCTAATCTCTACTGGTGTGCTTCAGTGAAGAAGGAAGTGTAGCATCACAATCATTTCTTGTTTTCCAGAATTAATGTCAGGGACAATATTTCATGTATGTCACAATGTTGAACTAAAATCCATAGGGACATTGGCTGCAGATCTTCATATTGATTAACCCATGAATGTGGGTACAGAACTTAGATATCAGTGATTATACCTGTAATCAGAATAATGTCATAAAAAAGGTCCTAAAGATTATTTTTCAAATGTTGTCGAAGAATGTCTAATCAAAATTTGAGAAAATCATGGAAATGTATCAAAGCCATTGTCTCAAGCAAAATCAGTGGGTAAATATGAGATTCAAACACATGACCAGCGGATCCTGCAAGGGGAGTAACTTTGAACAACTGAACATATAGACATCCACACACATCCCACACATGACTTTCACAAGAACCTGTGTCTGCTTCTGTAGTGTGAACAGTGAAATGAAATATGTATTACAGGCTAAAACATAATTTTCATGTGCAATTTTAAAGAATTATTTTGTGATCATTATCATCATTATTACAAGGTATGCATTGTCATGCCCTGCATCTGAATTTCAACCTTGTCAAGTGCATATGGTTCTAAACTACCTACATGGGTTCGCTTAACTGCACCTGTCAGGAAAAGACCCAGCCTTGTACACAATGTCACCTCGTAAGCAATGAACCCACTTAACAGAATTATTTCATGATTACAAAATACCATACAAAACATATAAACAACGCATTTTGGTTGTAATTTATAGACTTAATAATAGTCACAAACTGTAACCAAGGTAACAGCAACACATGCGGAAAGAGATTTCATTGGTGAAATAATGTGTTTACTTAACATCTGGCAAACATATGCACATTTATCACAACAACAAATACTTATTGTGGGTCAAATCTTAGCTAATGTGAAAACCATGTCCCAACTATTTGGCAAGGTGAGGCAACACAAACCAGTTCACATCCTACAATGTCTTATAGATTTTTGCTGAGACAGAGGGGCCTGCTCTGAACAATCTGTGTAGGTCAATGAGCAGCTGAGTAACCTCAACACAATAAAAGTCAACTGTCCTTGGCGCTGGGCTAGCCTCACAATTACAACTGAAACTGATCATAGTGAGACCCTACAATTGTTGGATAATGACCATACCAGTCTTTCACAGGAGCAAATAGGATTTGTCTTCCAACGTTAGAGACCGACTAACGAGCTCATTCCCCTCCTTGGTGGTAATTTCACTGTCAGAAGGAGCAAGGTCTCTTTGACCTCTCAATCCAGCAGGTTGTTTCCATATTGCAATTTTTTTACGAAATAAATTCAATTTATGCTGGCAATTCCAAACATACTGTCCATTAAAACTCTGTCCTATCTAAAGCTCGGTTTTTGTATCATAGGGAGAGGAAACAAAACTGCCCTCTTTCATTTGTTGCTGTTCATGAAATACTGCACTTCCTTGTGATAATCAAACTTATAACACAAGGAAATGAGTGTATATCATGCACTTTGGAAAAACATCCTGGTTACAAACAAAGATCCAGTGAGTTCATAGGGTTTTCCTTAATGTACTAACCATGCATGACTTTTAACGAATATCAAAGCATTCATACAGAACATATCAATAAGAAAGCATCCAATATATCCTTGAGTAACACTATCTACTATATTATTTTGCAAGTCAAATATCTTTCATTCATTCCGAAGATTCCAAACAGATCAGACAGGGCCAGTCTATATTTAGTTTCTGTTCATACCTTATAGCCCAGAGGAGAGTAAGCAAACTCCAACTGAAGCTTTAGAGTAATCAACAAGATAAAAAAATGTAATTTCATGTGAAAAAGTGTAATGTTAACGGTAAAAAGAGCTTTTTTGCTTTTCATTAGACCTTGCTTGACAACAGTGATGTATATGGACAAAGCTCCACATGTTCATAAAATTCATTATGTGAACGAAATTAACAGGGTTTGTTTCTTTTGTCAGAAAGACCATGTGGTGTTTCGAATTCCAAAGTAATACGGTGCAGAGGCAATTAGTTCCCTATCTGAAGTCGAAAATTCTGATCAATGAAATTACTTGAGTGTGCCTTAATATCACAATCAATGACACTTTGTGTCACAAGGTAACTATGTTCAAACTGTGAACTGAAAGCATGAATCTCGTTGGTCAGTGTTGTCTTGATGTAGAATGCTTCATGTGTCTTGTATAGAGCTATGTTTAATCAAAGTAGACACTAACACCGTTGTCAACCTAAAAGTGACTACAACCAGGTGAGGAGAGTTAATCAAGCAACAGACTCAATCAATCAACTTTTCAATTGGCTTCCAATCAGCTTGTTTATGATTTAATCCTTATTTTACACTGGCTTCAAGACTTGTGCTATTTTGTTGTTACACCTCTCCCCCTCTAGTTATGACTTACTTCTTGTCAATTACCAGTTCTTGTTGTTAATCGGCTGCTTGTCACTACACGCTATGCATACATACTTTTCATCACCTGGCTGAAGTCACTTTTAGGTAGATAACAGTGTAAGAATCTACATTGGAACATAACTCTATACAAAAATGAAGACATTGTTATCCTTAAAGTTGTATGCTATGTTATTTACTCTCCAACGTTAAGAATACTGATCGAACAATGATCACAGGACATTTGTCATTTATTTCACTTAATGATGAAGACATTTTCCATATTCAGAACGAACAGTTGAGCAAATTGAGTTTGCTCAAATAATCTGCCTAAATAATGAAGATCTCCAAAAGTGTCCATCACTTACCTCCCTTTACTTCTCCATTTGTACAAATGGCCGACATGGACAATGCAGTAAGTGTGGTGACAACGCCAGACAGGAGGATGATGACCGAAGTGAGGCCCATGCCAGCCTGCCCTACTACCCATGACAGGCGGATGAACAGCATCACACCCCAGATGTTTAGCAGACATCGTACCTGGACACACAAGAAATACACGGCTGAAACTAACATGCTCATCTCGAAACCATCTTGAAACTAGCAAAAGAAATTGCAGTCTGGGACCTTTCATCTTAAATCAACAATACATGCATTAATTTTTTGTTTATAACACAATAATGACAGATTATTTTCTGGTCCAACACTGATCTTGTAGCCAAACCGCGAGCTGGCTAAGGTGCCAGGCTAGTGATCCAGCGAGCTTGAGGTGTTGGGATCGAGCCCACCTGTGACCGGGTGTAACAACCTCGGAGTCAACTTTGTGTGCAGACTCTTTCAGTGTTGTCACAACCCGTAGTGTACGGTACACAACCCTGTCCAATAAAAGAACCCACGAATCCGTTGGTATATGACCAGATGGTGGCCACATGAATACGTGCAAACACCAAGTTGCGGGTACAGCAACGTGCAGTGAACTTGGACAAAGTACTGTGACTATGTGTCCCAGTCCACCCAGCTGTGAATGGGTACCTCGTTAGGATGAGAAGGCCACAGTAACTAGGTGCGCCTAGTGGCTGCAAGAGTTGTATGCTCCCCAGGGAGTTGAGATTGATAACACGATGTGCCGTTGAGACTGACATCCAATGAAAAAATACCAGCGCCTTGAGCAAGCACTAGTTGCCTGGATATGTGCACTATATAAATATCATATAATAAACCAAACGCAAATTCTATAAATGTTTCAAATGCGGAGCTATCAATGAATGTTGGTTAAGTCAAAGGCACACAAAATGTATCCCAAACGATATTTTCAGGAGAATAAGATAGAAAGTTTTTAACTAAAGTAAGGTAGGTACACTCACCAGATTATCTTGTCTTGAGGTTTCGAATGTCAAAAACTGTCTCCAGACTAACCTAGTCCATACCTATCAATAGCCAACACTCACCAGAACGCCTTTGATCCAGCCAAATTTCAAAGCCCCTTGCTGTGGCTTCTTGTCAGTGGTGATCGCCACAGTACTGTCACTGACCAATCTCTCTTCCCCGACCAGGAGGGGATCTTTGTGTCTACCCCGAATTTCTTCATCATCCTGCAACAGAACATTAGATCATTATGCTCAAAAGTAATGTCTAAAGTCAATGATATGGACATTATTGACACGTTCAGGGGTGGAAATAACCCATTGTCCGATGCCCGAGTCCAGTGTTTTTTTCTGTCGGGCAAGCAGATTTGTATATCACACTGTACCGGTGTCCAGTTGATATTCCAATGTTAATTATGTTGTTTATTTAAAAAATCAACAAGTAAATGGCCGGTATAGTGGAAAAATTATCAGGGCAAGTGATTTTACATGTGCCACTGTACCGGAGTACACTAGCAATTTTAAAGTTATTTCCACCCCTGACGTTAACTTAATGAGCATTATCTTTACTCATTAGGTTTACTGATCGTATACTGTGTTTACAGGAGTTTAAAAATAACATTTTTAGTTGAGCAACTGTACATGATGGAATTCACTTTAATCTGGAGTTCAATGCGGAAAAAAATATTACTTAAGCTTAAGGTTCAATACACCACACCACTTTATTACATAACTGGGCCCTCCTATTACCTGCAAGGTTCCTTACTAATTAGTCGTGTGGATTTACAGTTCAGTAGGACAAAGTAAAACTCTGTATGACAACAACCAAAAAGATTTACTGCCACCTAATGGTTTTGTAATATCAAACTATATCGATGGACACCATATCATCATGGGAATTTACCATTGGGGTGAATGGTAATCCAATGACTTCATATTGGTGTCTAGACCACTACTTTCATCCATACATATTCAAATAACATAATGCTATGTGTATCAAATATTCAAAACAATGCCAATACAACTACTGGGACCAACAAACATCCAACTTTCATCCATGCATCACAGAATCAGACCAATGTTGCTACATTATGCAGCTCTCACAGAAAATAATTGGGTTGTTCAAACAGGCAGTATTCAGTCAAAACACAGCTACCAGTGCAATGCAAAATAACAGGTATCACATATAGAGTTATTCACAGTATACCTTGATACTGCCAAAAACAAACGTATCTCTTGAAGCACATCCTACAATTGTTATATATTCTTCAAAGCTCTAAATTCACAGGCTTCTGAAACCACTTAAGGGATGGACACAATGCATGGTTATGGTTCAAGAAAATGAAAAACACATTTCATTATAATTAAAAAAAATATTCAAATTCAAATTCATGTGAACGTTTCGCAGCCACTAAGTATGAAAGTTTAAACAGCACTTAGAAGTGATACACATAAAGGGGAGAAGTTTTGGATATCAACTGCTTTATTTTGAGTCACGACATTTCGGAATATATTTATATTCCTTCATCAGTTCATAATCTTTCGCCAGATTTGACTTATTAAATTGGTTGTCCATTTGACATTGCTATTTTAGTAGCATAAAGGTTCCTAACTCAGCCAGCAGATCAAACGTATCAGAATACCATAGCAGCAACCCATGAAAACCTCAAGACTCTTCATTCTATATTACACTGATATGTGCGGTTTCTTATCAGTTCACTTTTTATTACTAATAAAACCTTTAAAGTACATAAACTCTGGGGAAATGATCAGATCTTTAAACTGTTCTTTTGACAGAGCTGGTGCGATCGATTGAGCAAGGGTCTGCAGTAGAGGGCACCATGAACATCACTTCAGTGATTGATTATTCCAGAAATAAGGTTTCAAGAATAAATCGCAAAAATTCAAATGTCTTTCTCAAGAAAACATGCTTTGTGGTCTGGTGCCAACTTCATGCCTAGGTCTAGATATTGTGACTTATACCATGCATGAAGCTTAGAAATTATCTTTGATGTAATCATCATCAATAACTAAATAACTCTTTTTAACAGTGCTGATTAACAATCACCTCAAACTGCCAATTATGTATACCATAAGAAAAAAAACAAAGTAATTAACAGGAGTAAGTTCCTAAGTTCATATTGCACCACTTTCCTCTATGCTCCTGTATAGTGTATTATTTACATGCAAGGTGCAGAGGGTAATTAATGACTGTATATGAGCTACCACTGAACATGCTGAAGACAGCAGCACAAGGTCTTCACCTGGAGCTCCTTTCCCGAAGCAACCTTTACTAAGGTTAGCCTTAACTCCTATTCTTTAACATTGCACTAAGGTTACCTTAGTGACTTACGATCACCTTAGCGCTTTGTGAAAGGAGACCCTGGTTGGTTACTTTATATGAAAATATTCAGCATGTTCAGGAACCATGCTGCATCCAACTTGCTGTCATTCATTGAACAGGACAACTGATTACCCAAGTTTGTCATTATTAGGTGCAATGGGATACCACCTGTTTACTGCAATACATGATTGCTATAGTACTGTCGGAAATAGAAAAAAACTGTTTTTAGGCTGTTACTCTGTATCCCTAAAATGTACACAATTGCAAATAATATATGTCGAAATAACCCACATCGGCCTAACTGGGCGTTCAGTGGGATGCGTAATACGATATCCAGAAAAGCATGTTTACTCGTAAAATCGGGCAAAACTTAGAGAGAAAAACGATGGCTGCTGAAGACAAGAGACTGACTGAGTTTGGTTTTACGCCGCTTTTAGCAATATTTAACCAACGCTTTAACCATTAGGCTACCCCACCGCCCCTGAAAACAATAGATCAGACTATAGATGGCAATTAGGTCGCTCAGCCAGGTATGACAATGGACCGTCGACTCACCTGGCATGAAATGCACGTGCTGCCTACAGCCACAAGGGGTCATCTCAAAGATATTTTTGTGCTTTTTCATGTGTGTTGACTATGTCTCATCTATTGATTAACATCTAACGTGTCTTTCTGTCATATAGTTTCATATAGTTTATGTCGAGATATGTAAAAGAGTATGATACCCGAAAACCATAGAAACGCATCGTAGTTTATCGGTGGCATGAACACCCGAAGATCGACAGGACTGGATATTATTTGTAAATTGTTATGACGTGCCGTGTACCTCCCCAGCATAATTGCCCTAAAGGATTATCTTATCTTAGCTGATATCTGTATCCCCAAGCCCGACCCCATGTTTTGCTTTTGAGACGACCCCTCCTATCTGTTTCTTTTTTTAGTGACAGTGAGACTGCATGGTAGCTACATCCTTAATAGTTTCGGCATAAAAGTTATTATTTTTTACGTCAGCTATCGTTTATAAAGAATCTACGTCTAATTTCAAATTGTCGAACACTAATTTGCATAAAGCCATGGTCTGTTCCAAATAAGTCTTTTTGGACTTAGAAAAAAAACACATTGCTCATTTCTACACTAATTTCCCATCAGTAAAGTCCCTTATCTCCGTTTCCTATCTCTCTACCACTGAGACTGTAGTTAGGCCGAACTTAGATTAACGGATATTTCACACTTTCACATATCAACTACATAAATTGTAAAGATAAATGAGTAAATACAGTGTTTTTCTATTTCCGACAGTACTTTAATACATACACCATAGTATATTCATTAAATGGTGATCAGTATACAAATCACCAATCTCACAATTCCTTCACAGGCTGTGTGTTAATTATTGGAAACCCGACTGTATACTTGTTAGACACCACTGGACCAGCATTACTCTTTTAAGTCCTAATTCAACTTGCAGCTACCATTATTATCACATGTATCAGTTGTGCAGTAACACAAAGTGTCATATAAGCATCTTTTGGCACTAAACATGCTAAATAGTGGCATGTTCACTCGCCTTTGTCATAGTAGGGGAAGAATACTGGTGTCCTAAAGAGTTAGGAACAAGCACATATCCAGGTTTTTGGTCAGTATGATTCACACTACATAGATGAAACTAAAACTTACCTTGACATTAGATACTGAGCAAGTATATACCTTTTCTACACAACTCTGATTTCTGAACAATAAAAGTTTTATCATAGTAATATACAAAAAAAACACACAAGCAGTTGTCACTAAGGTGACATAATCATCCGCCGTCAATTGTCAAATCAAACTTAAAGAGTAATGAAAGTGAAGGTCATAGTTTAAGATGAAGTTAAATGCCAACAAAAACATGACCAGTCAACCTTTCTTGATATCTTGCTCTGCTCTGTAGCTGTTCAAACACACAAATAGTTTCAAGACTCACTTTGACCTTGACATGAATGTCATGGTGTATGAAATATGCAAAAAATAGTAATAGAGAAATTGCTTATCAAAAAACATTCAAGAAAAGTCTTGAAAGTCTATGAAGAAATTCCAGTGAACCATTCTTGAGATATCTTGCTGACAATCTTAACATGCTAAAATCTTCAAAGTGTCGCTGTGACCTTGAAAATTACGTGATGGTTACCAAACTTGACTGGGCCCTGCACCTTCCCTATATGAAGCCTGGTGTCTAATATGATGAAAATCCAGTGAATGGTTCTTGAGGTATCTTGCTGACAAGCTTAACATGCAGGTTAGCATGCTGAAATCTTCAAAGTGTCGCCGTGACCTTGAAAATTATGTGAAGGTCACCAAAATTGTCTGGGCCCTGCGCCTTCCATATATGAAGCTTGGTGTCAAATATGAAGAAAATCCAGTGAACGGTTCTTGAGATATCTTGCTGACAAGGGTAAAACGTTCAAGTCCCATCAAGGTCACAAAACCTGACTGGGACCTTTCTTATACTGTGATGAACCTAGGTACCAAGTATAAAAGAATCCAGTCAATGGTTCTTAAGATATTCCAATTCGTACGTACGCACGGCCGGAGCCTAATACTATATCCCCCGACTGTCCCTTTCATCCTTAATTTGGGCAATTATTAAGAGTGCTACCAGAATTGTTTTGAAGTTGACCAGATGGCACTATCACTGCTTACTGAACCATGGTACTTAATGACAATACAGTGAATACAACATCGGCAGTCTGCCACTTCAGCCAAAAGTAACAAAAAACATATTTTGCTCTTCCAAGCTCACAATAATCCATACAACAAAACTGTTTAAATGAAGAGCCTGTAAGAATAGTTCAGGCTTGTAGACACAAGAGTAGTTTCTACTTACAGCATGTATCGTATCTGACAA